TACATTAAAGAAATGGGTACTTAAAGGTAAATTAACATGTACAAATTTGAGGGTGCTAATTTTGAAAATGGGGATGCTAAGAACACCCAAGCCCCCCCCCAAATTTCGCCTATGAGTGTGTTGCCATAATACACTGCTTTAAACACTAAACAAGAGTCGTAAACTGTAGATTTATCAGTATTATATTTTAACTATGAGTTATATAATTTTCTTGTCATATATTGTAATTGTTGAGTTATCGTAGTTTTATATTAGCAAAATAAAATAAAATCTCAACTCTGATAATATCCATGAATTCTTATTTCTTATTTTAAAATCTTTTTTTACTACTACTTTTTTTACTAGAATTTAATTATAGTTATTCTTAAAAAAAGAAGCGTCCGGAGGGGATGTATCCCCTTTCCCCTTACCATTATTACGCCACTGCTTGTATGTCAAGAAAATAATAGCTATATTATGTTGTATGACACATAAATATTTATTTTTTATTTAAATATCCTCAGTATTTGTCAAAAAAAACCTTAGCCCATATAAAAAAAATATTTGCCCCACTCTGCCCCCCCACCTGGAATTATTGAATTATTCAGAACTTGAATTAAACATTTATATGTCACTAGGTAAGTATGAAGTATAAATATGAAAAATGATTAAGCTTACAAAAGTACTTACTTTAAAATGCAATTTATTAATAGTATTAACAGCTTAAGAAGTAATATTGGATATCTCGCCTTATCTAAATTAAACTTTGCCTACCAATTGGTAAAAATACATTTAATAATTTAGTGTAAAAATATAGAAATAATTAATGAACAATGAATCAACGTACAAGACAATGTTTCAGAGTTTTGAGAAGTTATTGAATATAATAGATATATTCAAATAAATATAATATAAATTGTTAGCCAAATATAGAATTATACAAATTATCACTTTTATTTATTTTTAATCACAAAAATATTCAATATAATATCCATTTTTAATAAATCATAATCATGTTGTTGGCGAAATTTAAAACAGAGTACAGATATCAAACATTAATACAGCTAGATTTAGGATTATATACTATTCATAGCATTACCTAGTACCAAACAGAGTAAGGCATTAGTGGAATAAAAAATTATTTGATTGATTATTTGAATATAAATTTATTCTTTATTAATTTATTTTTAATTTGATTATTCTAGATTTGTTTTATTCATAATTTCAATTTTTACAAATATGTATTTGTTATTCATTATTCATTATTTTTCATAGTCGTTCTTATATCAAATGATTCGTAGATAACTTAAAATTCTAACTTTATTAAAAATCGAAAACGGTATGTTTTTTTTATTGTTATATTATCTACTATAAAAAATTTTTAAACCAAAAATCATAAGAAATATTTTTATCTATGAGGGGCTAATCTAACTAGTTTAGCCTTAGATCATATACTATATCATATGGTAGGTATATGATCCAAGGGTTTAGCACTCAATATCGACATGTTATTTACCCACACATAAGGTTTTACTGCTTTAGTTACATTTTTGTAATTGATTTAAAACAAAGTTTGATATAACTTGAAACGGAGCCCGCGCTCAGACGAAAACGGCCCTTTTCAGGGCCACCAAGAACATCGTCGACTGGATAGATAAAAATTCAACCAATGAGAATGGAGCGTCGATGTCTGATTGGCTAAAAATACCGGTTACTTTTCGAAGTATCGACACTCCATTCTTTTATTCAAAACCATCAATGTATTAAAATATCAAGATAAGAAGAATAGAAGCACCCAATGGCGATTAGGACGAATGCGGCGGCAAAGGCGGTTGCGGTGCCTATGGCGATCTCGGCTGCGGCAATCACGGCCGTGAAAAACAACGACGAATGACAGACAACCATAAATCCGACCGGCTCCAGCAGTATTTACACGCGAGGCTCCGCGATTCGAAGACCAATTCATCAACACTTTAAACGTCACATTTCAGGGCCAATATTCGTAAAAAAAACCGTTCCGGCGCGCTTGCGTGAGCGTCGGCTGGTAAAGTGATCGTGATGTGAAAGTGAAAGTGATAATGGGTCGATACGCGCTCGCTTGTTTAAAGCGACAGTCCGCTGTCAACTGTGCACCTACTCTTGTCCGATACCGCCCAGACGCACGGCCCGGAATATCTTTGTATTTATTGAATGGATTGTATCATTTTTATTTAATGTTAAATAAATAATTTTATATTTATTTCTTTGTATATATATATAAAGAACCGAGTGTCGTCCCCGGCACACAGTTTCAAACTTTATGTCAAACTCCATATTATATAGGTGCTGAAATTTTATTTAGTATAATATTATTATTTAATTTATATTTAAATTATATAATTTATTATTATTCAATTATTATTTTTGCCATGATTATTCTATAATTATTTGCTTTTCTATGAATAATGAATATTATGAATATTATAATAATATAATAATATTATATTATCTATAATATAAAAATGAATCGCAAAATGTGTTGGTAAGCACATAACTCAACAACGCCTGGACCAATTTAGCCAAATCTTTTTTTCAAATGTTCGTTGAAGTTCAAGGATAGTTTTTACGGCGAGAAAAATTAGAATTATTGCTGGAAAAACCCTAAAAATAGCCCTTTTTGACCAGGTCGATAACTGCACAATTGAAAATGAATTATTAAATAAAACTATTAAAAAACTATTAAAAAACTATAAAAAACTATTTAAAAACTATTAATTTTATTTTTGGTAGTAAATGACGGTTATTGCATAAATATTAAACAAAAAAAGATCCCGCAACAGGTGTCGAAACAAATAAGAATGTTAGTTCGAAAAATTATTATGCATATCGGTTGATGATTAAACGAGATCAAGACAAAATTATTCTACGATATCATGAGCTTCGTCAACAATTCATGGTCGAAATGTATGTAAAGACAGAGAGCGAACGATTTTGATACTTGCGATTTAATCAAAAAAAGCTGCGTGCAGAAGATTCTCAAAACAATTGTTAGATATTGGAGATGGGAAAGTTACTACAGATAAAACGGAATGTATAAAATTACCGACCGATTTCTGCACAATCATTTATTCGCAAGATGCTCTCATTGACTAGATATTTTCCAATGTACACAGACAATACATAAATCATGAGTGGCTGGCAGAAAGGGCAATTTTAGTAGTAAAAAATGTGGACGTCAACGAATTGAATCTCAAGATAAACATTTATTATCAGGAGACATGGTGTCATACAAATCTATAGATAGTTTGCTATGCTACTGAAGCTGTAAATTATCTAACAGAGTTTTTAAACTCATTGGACTTACCAGGCATGCCACCGCATAATTTACAATTGAAGGTTTGTTCTTTGGTTATTTTGCTTCATAATTTGACCTACCACGGTTGTACAACGACACGCGATAAGTTGTTAAAAAATTAATGAAAAATGTTATCGAAGCCATAATTTTAAATGGCAAATTCCGAGGTGAAAATATATTATTACCGCGAATCTCTATTATACCCACAGATGTGCCAATACAATTTAAACGCTTTAAATTTCCAATTAGATTGGCATTTGCAATGACTATCAATAAGTTTCAAAGCCAAACAATGTCTGTAGCTTAGATTTGAGCACATCATATTTTTCACACGGATAATTATACGTGGTGTGCTCTCGAGCAATTTTAATAAATTATTAAAAAAATAAATGTTTGATGTTTTTTCATTTTTATATTTCGTTACCATTCATAGCACGCCATATATCTTCATTACATCCTTATCCTTACCCACATTCTTACATGCCTATATTTAATTAGTTATTTTTTTCTAGCAAAATATTCTCTAGAAATAATTTATATGACAAAACAACGTTTGTCGGGTCAGCTAGTAATATAATAATAATAATAATATTATTATTATAATATTCAATAAAATTAATATTATATTTTTAAAATTGGTTATTATTCAGTATTTATTTAATTCATTCAGAATAATCTGTTCACAACTAACTAAAACTACTTAAAACAAAATATTATTCTTTATTCACAAAAAAATTAGTTATTCATGATTTTATTTTTTATTCATAATTTTAATTTAATTTTTGCCTAACTCTGGCACCAAAACTAGAAAATATGTATTATAATTTTTTTTTTATTTCTTAAACAGTAGTAATTTATAAGTAATTTATTTTTAATACTATTTTACCAACATAATGCAACATTACCAATTTCAACTGCCATAAATGCTAATAATGAATATAATATATATTATGAAAATCTATTAATGTGAATAAATCAATATTTTTTAATTACAAAATCAATATACTAATAAATTATGAAAATAGGAAAAAAAACAAATCAGGTCTTATAAAAAAAATTCTATATTAATTATTTACAGTTTATATATCACGAATGTTAATTAAAATGACCATGTACAACAACATCGATTTTACAAGTACAATTGCAAATTAAAAAAAATTGATTAAAATTACAATATACAACAAAATTCTATACAAGACCTTAAAATTGTACAACATTCATTTTGGTGCAATAAAAATTATATATACATACATTCATTTTCATGTTTACTCATAATTTTCAAATGATACAAATACATTTATAAATAATTGCACCTCAATATATTTATTATTAAATTTATACAGAGTATTTTCTATGAAGGAAAAAAAAATAAGCGTAACAGTCACAACTTCACTTGAAACGATTCCTAGAGTGAACTTTCTTTTTTTTTATGAAAAACCATAGAAAGACCATCAAAATGTAATAGTATCTTAAAACTATTTAAAATTATTTATTTATTTTTAAGTTCTTTATGTCAGCTATTAATTATGTCAATAATGGTAACAGCCTATATCTAATATTATTACAGATTTTTATGTAATATATAATATATAAAGAATATGTAAGACATTTTTGAAATTGTATGTAGAAATTTAACAAAATTTATTTAATACATATCAAAGTGATCTACAAATAAATAAAAATATAAATTAAAACCATAAATAGTTAAATGTGTTATTCTTTTACATACAATTGAAATCAATAATTTATTTTGAAACAATTTTTATAAAGAACAAAAAAATGCTAATGATTAGTCTGTTAATGGTAAAAAATAAAATAAAACAGTAGGTTTTATGAACCAAACTCAAATAAAATAAAAATATTTTTCCAAATTCGTATTAAATGTTTGTCATTTACGTTGTGCGTGGAGTATGAGAATTGGGTGAAGAAGGTATTGTCAAAACAGTTGGTTGTTGTTGCTGAGGAGCCATAGATACGGCAACTATTGAACCTGCCTGGCCTGATGAGGTTTGTACTCTTAATTGACCTTGACGAACAGACATTTGCTGACCTTGTTGAAATACAACCTAAAAATGTAATTTAATTACTAAGTATTTAGAGTAACAATTTATCAAAAGTAACTTGAGTTAATAATAGTATACCAATAGAATTTATGTTTAAAAAAACTTTAAATGATTTTACATTTATATTAATGACAATTAAATTTGCTCTCACTATCACCAATGAAGATAATTAGATACATAACTATACAGCAAGTCACCTCATAACCTATCAACTAGCAACAAATATGTTTACAAAAAAAAAAAAAAAAAATCGTACGAAATCTCATATATTCTACTCTCAAGCCACATTTGGTGCCAAACCAAATACCTCGACTTCTCCCCTTGCTGACTCCATTGATATAAACTCCATTCTTATTGCCTTCATAACGGACATTAAAGCTTTAATAACCCCTCTTCTATCACTGCTTACTACAGTCGTCATACAGCTAGTTAAAAATAACAATGATAAATAATCACACCAATAACTCTCTCCTTAGTCCTCCTTTGGAATTGTAACGGTATTCTAAACCATACCAACGAACAAATTGCAATATTACATGAAAAAATAATTGGCATAGCTCTTATTATGGGATCTCAATTAACAAATAACTCAAGAATAAACATCACTGGTTACCAAGTTATTACTTCTAACCACTCTGATGGCACAGCTCAGGCTCTGCAATCTTAATCTGCACATATATCCACTATCTCAAACCATTTCAATCGTATCTCTATTTACAAAAAAAACTATTAACAAGCCTACGCTATGACGATAAATCATATTCCCCTCACAATAGCCGCTGCTTATTGTTGCTCAAGACATAGTAGAACACCTAATCAATTTAAAACATTTTTTAATTACCTAGATCATAATTTCATAGTTGGTGGCATCATCAACGCAAATTACTGAGGCTGTTGTAGCAGCAACCCTCGTAGTAACACTCTTCTACAAATCATCTCCTCTAAACGACACAATGTTCACCCCCCAACTTATTTGCCCTCTTCTCCAACTAAACGTTATCATAAACTGACATCCTCAATATCTTCATCTACAATGCTCCAAACAATATCTACCAAAACACTAAAAATTTTAACTCCATTTATTCTGATCATACAGCTGTCCTCCTCACCTTAAATACCTCACCACCAATTCAATCACTGAAACCTTCACTAAAATACAAAAACACCGACTGGGACGCATTCCATTCTCAACTTTCTAATGATACTAATCTTATTATAAAATTTAAATACCTGGAACATCTCTAAGACACTATTACCAAATTAATCCATTCGATACAAAGAACTATGTGGAACTCTACTCCAATATCACAACCCATTCCTCCTTCTATAAACATTCTTATTCATATACGAAATTTAATTAACGAAAAAACACTGTGCTAGTACTCAATGGCAAAGTACTGAATATCCCTTAGAAAAAAAAATCGTCTAAACTCCCTAACTACACATTTAAAAAAATTGCTGTCAAACTACAGAAATATTCACTTACTATATAGCTTCACTATCTTTCAAAGATGATTCAATCTGGAAAGCCACAAAAAAAAAAAAAAGCCTTTTAAGAAAAACCTTCTTACCCTCCTTTAAAATGACCCAACAACATCTTGGCCATTAATAACCCAGTAAAAGCTGATCTCTTTAAAAAAACACATCTAGCTGAAGTCTGTAAGCCTCATGGTAATATAAACAACCCAGCTTTTTCCAACGAAATTGAATTTTTTTTTTTATTTCCCCTTGCTAATGACTCTACCTCCTAAGCATTCTCTCCTGCTGAAAATCAACATTGCATTGACACATTCCCTACAAAGAAGGAGCCTGGCTTCGATCTTAAAACCTACGAAGTAGCCAAAAGCCACCCAAGGAAAACTTTAACACTCCGCAAGTACATTATTAATACAATTGTTTGATAATCCTACTTTCCGCTTCAGTGGAAGTTCTCAATCATAATAGTCATTCCTAAACCTGTTGAAACCTCTCAACAATCCTTTATTGTACAGACCTAAAAGTCTTCTTCCATATTTCTCAAAGGTACTTGAAAAACTAGTGCTCAAAAGAATTAGTCTTATCATAAATAACTCAAAAATTATTCCTAACAATAAAAAATCCTCCCATCTGTTTTTTACCTATTTTTTAAATCTTATTTCAAAAACTGTCAATTCGCTGTTCGGTACCGCTCAAGTCTCTCTTCTATTTCCCCTATTGAAGCCGGAGTTCCTCAAGGAGCAATAACAGGTCCTGTCCTTTTCAATATCTTCATAGCTGATCAACCCACTTGGAGAAGTGTTAGGAGTAACACGTTTGCTGCCGAATACATCACACACAAAAGCAATCCTTTCAACCCATACAAACACAATTATTGCCTCTATCCAACTTTAATCTCACCTTTCTCGCTTGGAAACCGGGTGTCATTTAATTACGGTTACATTACAGTTAAATTCTCCGGTGTGAGATGGATAAAAATCCAAGTTTAGAATTCCTGGTTTTTTACTACATAAACGCTATTAATAGTTCAATAATGAAACTAAAATATTTTTTTTGATAAATATCTATATATTGACATTAATCTTTTCGATATACTGAAGTCAACACAAATTTTGCTAACCCTACTGATGGCAGCCATACACATTCACGTTGTTTTGCTCTAGCTGTGAGCAGCCAGTTGGTTGCCATGTAGTCATTTAAGTTCTACTGGCTGGGGCAGCCTAGTGAGCTCCAATAAGTAGTGTGGTATTGGCTGCCTAATGTGTTAGGAGACTTAGATTAGATAATATTATACCTTAGATCATCGTTTCTCAACTTTTTTAGTGTCGCGACCCTCAAAATAGGTATAAAATATGATCAATCACTTCGCGACTCCCCCCCCTCCATCTATATTAGATAAAAATTTGAACAGTAAAAATATCCTATCACTAATCAAACGAAATATAAAATTTTAAATATCAATTTATAAATACCATATCTAGTAACTTAAGTTTATCAAGTTTGAATGTTATGTATTGGCTTGTTAGGAATTTTCATTAGTGGAGTAGTGCCCGTTTTATTGATGAGATATCTACATTTAATCGACTGCTTATTATTGTTATTATTAATATTATTTTAGTGTATTATGATATGATTAATTTATCGATGACAATTGCGCGTCGCTCGTGTTGTTAAACTCATGTGATATTGCGTTATTAAGATGGTTTTTAATGCGCCTTTTTAGTTTTGTGTAATTTGAATTAATAATTATGGATAAATATATAACAAAACGTAATGCTCCGTCTACATCTGTTGAACCAGCGAAAAAAAAATTTAAGTCATATAACAATGAGTATTTTAAGTATGGGTTTATTTCACTTGATAATAAGCCGCAATGTGTTGTTTGCATTCAAATTCTATCTCGAGAAAGTATGAAATCTTCAAAATTAAATTCAACATCTGGAAACAAATCACCCACTTTTTGTAAAAAGAACAAATTGATTTTTTTGAGCGTAAATCACTTTTTTTTTTTTAAAAAATCAACAAACTTGTATTCTTAAATCAAGTCAGAATAACTCTGCAACACTAGAAACATCATGTTTAGTAGCACTTAGGGTAGCTAGGGAATCAAAGCCGCACACGATTGCTCGAAATAGTACATTTTTAACTTTTTTCCAAGATAATGAGACATTACTTTGGCTTATTTGAGTGATATATTTTCACATTTGAATAACTTGAATATAAGCTTACAAGGCCGTGAAAGAACATTCTAATAATGTCAAATAAAGTTAATGCTTTTGTCAGAAAACTTGGTATTTGGATCATTCGTTTCGAAAAACGAAATTTTGATGCATTTGATTTAACATCAAATTACATTGAAAAAAATGTAACTTAAAAAGTCCTATTCTTGATCGTGTTTTGGATACCATGAAAACACATTTAAGAGAATTGAAAATTCAATTACTCGCATATTTCTAATGTAACGACAATGATTTCTCAAATAGATGGATTCTTAATCCATTTGATGAAAATATTGTTGCAGTTGCCAAATTACCAGTTGAGACTTACAACCATAGATAATAAATGAATTAATTTATTATGTATGCTCACAACCGATAGAATTATCAGCTGATACAACATTACAGCTACAATTTGCATCTCAAGATTTAAATAAGTTATAGATTGTCTGGAAAATTTAATATGAAAGTTTGGTAACAGGCATTGAAAATGTTGATTCCGTTCGCTACTTCTTATTTATGCGTAAAAGAATTCTCATCCGTGATTGTAATAAAAACCAAGTACAGAAATCGTTTGTTATCACTAGAAAATAATTTATTTTTATGTGTTTCAGATGTTGAACCACAAATTAAGCAACTTTTAAATGTAAAACAAATTCAAAGATCACACCAATTATTTATTTTATTGTGTTTTTTATTAATTTTTTATTTACATCCTTATCGGGATAATTTTATTATTATTATTATTTTAATTTTTTTTTTCAATAAAAAGTCTTAAATATTTAAATAAAAAGGTACATTTTGTAAATTAACATTTTATTATTTTTGACCTACACGACCCCAAGTCAAGGTGTTCGCGACCCACTGGTTGAGAAACGCTGCCTTAGATAATTATGAGCCTGTGTCGTAATGGAAATATGAGCACATAAGGCGGGCTTGTCCAAGATAACTTACACTCCGTGCATACCCAGCCCTAAAGTCTATGTCTGGTTCTGGGCAGGGTTAAGACGGGCCAGTCTGGCCTGTGCAGGGCTCTAATATGTACACAGATTTAGCAAATTTCATTATAATATCCAAATACAAATGCTGTGCAAGTGTCAAAAATAGTCCAAATCCTATCTTTTTACTAAATTTCAATTTTGCTCTATTCTAATAATTATAAATATTATAAAAGTTATAAGTCATAAATGTCCAGTTCATCGACATCCAAAGAGCAACAATGAATCAAATAAATTGTATTTAGCTTCCAAAACTACAGTAACATTGATCTATTCTCACTTTTCTAACTCCCAATACCATCCCTTTAACAGGGATGAAGAATAATCAATCTATCCATAACCTCCTTCAGTCCCTCTCGATTTTTCCTATTATTTTATTTTGGGCCATTAAAATATTTACTTAAATGTTTTAGTACTATTGAAAATGTATAAGCCTAAATTCTTTTAAATGTTTTAGTATAATAGAAAATGTATTAATCTACAAAACTAATAAGCTTTAAATGAGGTTAAGTATGCAATTAGCAAAAAGTCCATTATATATTATTGTTATAACTAAAATTAAAATTTCATTAATTTAAGACATTTTTTTAGTCTTAGGAATTACCATCAATATAATTATTAAATTATATTATATTATGATTTAGTAACAATAATGTAGAATAAGATAACACATGTAAAAAACTAGGACTCACCTGAGATAATATATTAGAAGAATGACCTTGGTTACCAGTAGTTTTGAAAACATTACTTAAAGAACATGGTTGTAATGTTGAACGCGCTGTTTCAATTCCAACACCAGACGCAGTCCTTAATGTTTGAACTGGATTCACCACCTACAATTCATATAGGGAAATTAATGTAATATAATACATATGTATAATAAAATATTATATTGTTATTTACATTATTAACATAATTAAATGTACTAACACTAATCAGTGAATTCCTTAAAATAGATATACTAATATTAGGACTATTTAATCAATCTAAAACTTAGATTTATAACACAAAAATAAATATACCTGGATTGCCTGTTTTAATGAAGTTTGAGTTGTAACTACAGGTAAAACTCTGGTTAATCCAATACTTGAAGACTGTCCTTGATTTTTGGCAATAACATGAGATATAACTTGACCACTGCTAGAATTTGATTGCATTGCAGTTATATTTGCACCAGAAACCTAGAGTAATGTATAGTTAAATATTCATTTGAATACACAATTATTTTGACTAATGCATGGGCAAAAAAATTTTAAAATATGACTTAATACTCAATAAAAACAACTGATTTCTAAAAAATATTATTAATGCAATATTAAGAGTTTATAATAGGTTCATAAAGTAATTGTAACTTGAGAAAAAAAAAATGGCAAGATAAAGTTTCCAAGTGTAATATAAATATAAAATATCATAAAACTAAAAAATAATTTTCCTGGGAAACAATTTAGTGTCATAATTCTTAACCTCTAACTAGGTTAAAAATTATATTTTGGTTAAGTTATTCATAAGATAATATAAATCTGAATATTTCAAGGGAATAAGAAAAAATTGCTAGAGAATTATATATAAAAACATCACATACTACATAAAAGAAAATCTTAATTTGGTTTTACATATATATTTAATTTCTGTGCTAAAGATAAAAATAAAATGCTATAAACAAGTAAAATATTAAATCTAAATACTTACACTAACATTTTGGATATTTTGATTTTTCATCATAGTTTGCAATTGCTGCATAGTCATAGTACCAGGTACTCCTTTAGACTGAACAATCAGTTGTGTTGGAACACCTGTCTTACCAGACACCTATCATAAATATAATAAGTAAATATCATAAATAATCATAAAATTAATTTTTAGTTAATGAAAACAATATCTTCTTACCACAACTTGACCTAATTGAGTAACTTTTTGAGTGGGCATTTTTCGATGGGCTAACATTGGCTGTTGAAGTGTAAGTTGTCTAAATTGTTGTTGTTGTGGATTTATATTTTTAGTAGCTGTAGTAACACTAATTGTATTTTTGCCTCCAGCTGAAAGCATCAGACTTTGCACAGATGTTTTAACTATTGACGGTCCAGCCGATGAGATAGATGATTGCGCAGTAACAACTTGTGCTTGTTTTTGTTGTAATAACTGATGCCTTTTAATGAAATTTGTTACATCGGTGTCAGTTATATTCCTAGTATTAATTGTATTTTTGGGTCGGACATTAACTGTAGTTGGTGTTTGAGATGTTTGGACGGGTATGATGTTGGCAGTAGAAGTTTTAGTTGCTCGTGCACTAACCATTTTGACTTGTTGCTGTCTAGCTATATTTTGTTGCTGTTGGCGATACATTTGAATCTGAGATTGAGTAATAGCTTTGTTCATAGTAGTAACTACTGAAAAAGAAAATTATTAATGAATGGAATTAAATGAATGAGAAAATAATATTTTAAAATACAAACATATAAATTATATTCTTTATAGTCAATACATAAAATATACAAAGAAATAAACAAATATTTTAGACAAAGAAATAATATAATTAATTAAAAAAGCTTATCCTTGAATATTATTACATTTTCAATGTATGACAGGTTTTAAATTAAAAATTCATCATTACATATATATATATATTAGATGTAAGTAAATAAAATTGCAATTGAATAAAAAAAAAATAAAAGAAGTACAATGGGAAAATTAGTTGTTTTACATAGAAATAATTTTTTTTAATAGGATAAGTTATTTAAAATGAGTTGTTATTAGACATAGATATATTAAGAAATATAACTACTTCGGTTCTTATTATTTATTATCTAAAATATATTGTTATAACATATTTTTAAAATTGGTTTGTATACTTAAAATATTATAAAATAATTTTTTTTTTCATAAAGCATCAACTTCATAGTTTTAACATTATTATATGTCATTGACAATTCAATTTTTTTTTAGATATAAAATTATGTTTTGATAGTTAGAAAATGGATCAATTGCTTCGTACATGTTGTCTGGGATGGTGAAGTCTTTCCTACCTTCATTGAAGTTTGGGCAGTGGACAATGTGTTTGATGGAATAGTTTTCATTGCATGTTGGGCATAGGGGTGGTGGTTCTGTTTTTGCCATAAGGTGTCCATGTATGAATTTTGTGTGGCCAATTCTAAGTCGATTAAGAATTACCTCATTCTTTCTGTTTAGATCAGTATAATGCGGCCAGAATTCTACAGAGTGCTTAATTTCTCTTATTTTCCGTGATCATATATTATTTTGTGTTCCACAAATCAATGCAATATTTGTTTATATTCCTTTTTATGTCAACAAGTGATGAAAAAGTAATTATTTCACTGGCGGGATATTGTGATATTAATGCATTTGTTGTTGATGTATTTGCCTTTTTATTTTCTTTTATGTTGCAATGACCTGGGGGTCCAAATGAAACTAATGTATTATTTTGATGAGGAAAGAAGGTTACTCATTTTAAGAGCTAATGGCTCAGTTAGTATTTTTGATTGCAGATTAGTTAAGATACTGAATGAGTCGGAAAACATACATCTATTTTTGTATTATTGATTTCTAGAGCTTAATGGGTTCCTTTATATAGCGCTAGGTATTCGGCTATAAAAATACTGCTTAAATTATTAAGTTTGAATAGTTACATTAAGGTGGACTTCTGCAAGTCCTATATTCATTTCAGTGTTTTAGATGCATCAGTATAGATCTTACTATTGTTATTTGAACTGTGTATTAGTTTATTAAATAAATTGTTACAAATAATATTCGGTGTTATTTTTTTCAAGTGTTCTGTTAAGCTATGTAATTTGGTTGTTTCCACAAAGGTATCTGGCTGTTTTCCCATTGAAATATTGATATTCATGAACCCTTTCTGTAGTCTTAGCCCTAATGGTTTTCTTAGTCTAGAAATGTAATCATATATATTGCAAAAACGATTTTTATTTGAAAGGTGTATGGTTGAATTATCAGGTGTAGATATGATACAAACTATATAATTAAGTGATAATTTAGTTCTACGAAGCTGAAGTGGGGGTTCTCCCATCAAAGATAACAAACTGATTATCGGGCGGCTTTTGAATGTGCCAATTGAAAATCTCAGTCCTGCATTATGGATTGTATCTACAATTATTAACATTTTCGAATCTGTGTTTCCATAATAAATTGAACCATAATCGAGTTTAGATTTTACTAGCGATCTATATACCTTTAATAATATAGTACCTTCACCACCACATTCATAGTGACTTAATGTTTTAATTACATTGAGGCTTTTGTTCAGGCATTTTTTTTTGAGGACCATAATATGAGATTTCAAGATAGCTTTTTTATTAAAATAATTATTTTTTATTTAATTATGTATGTGTAACTCTTCTAAAACTGAATTAATGTAAATGTTATTTTAGGTATTAAATATTTCTAAGACTATATTGATATCAAAATATAAATTATGATTATTTTCTAAAACATGTTTAGCAAAATTTGAATTAAGGTCATAAAATTACACAACTTTTGTCATTTACACCTCATATATTCTATGCAATATAGTTTAACTGTTAGTTATTATATAAATTATTAGTCTCTGAGTAGATGATAATTTAAATAATCACCAATTTAGAAATTATAGATAAATATTGAAATACCTTTTCCAGTTGTTGATGAAGCTTGAGTAACAATGGAAGCTTGGGTGAAATTTAATGCCCGTTGAACAGCAGCGGAGTAATGTACTGACATCGGAACCACTTTAGGACTAGCTTGTGGTATATTTTGCACATTTGGTTCCTAAAAAAAAGTTTATTGAAATCAGATGGGAAAAAATTAAAAAATTAAATTTATTACTTGGACAATAGAAGAAGATGAACTCATAATAATACGATGTTGGGTTGTAGGTGAAGGTCGAACTGGTGTTGGACTGGCAGTTTGAGTTGGTGGCAAGGTATTTGGAAGCTGAATAGATTTTACAGTTGGTGGTGGCTGTTGTACTCTTAATGTTGCAGGTTCAACTAGTTGTTGTTGCTGTTGTTTTTCACGGATCATACGATCAGTACGACGACTAATTACTTGCATTGGACCCAAAGGTACATTATAGTCTACATCATAATTTTCCTTTAATATTGCAATATGGCTTGCATTTGGAATTAAAGGAGTATTAGCTGATTGGCTAGGTACAGATTGACTATTTGTTCGGCACAAAGGTTGTCGTTTAGCAGCTACTGATAATAATCCATTAAAACGAGTAATAAGTAACTGAGTATATGTACGATTTTCATCTGTTGTATATATTTGTGATGTACGTAATCCTCGATTCATTTTCTAAAACATTTAAAGTTTAAGCATTTTAGAATTTTTATTTTGAGTAAAAAAAAACCAATATTAATAATAATTATACTGTAAGTAATACAAATAATATACTTTTTTCTGTTTTTTGAGTAATTGTTCCTGTAACATACGGCCTTCTTCTCGAGCTACTATCACTGACTCATACCTTTAAATAATAAATAAGGAATTTTTAATCATAGGCTTTTATGTAATAATGTATTATTAAGTATATATTAATTAAAATATTTACAAATACAACACAATATTTAATTAATTTTTTTCAATAATTCAAAAAATTTTCTTTCACCTGTTTTTACATTGTTTGGGAGATCTATAAACACGAGACATCATATTAACTAGCTCAGATACTAAATCCCAGTTAGGTGTATGAGCTGGACATAATATCACTAAATTTAATGTCATTTCTTGTACTCTTTGTACAGCCTAAATTTAAAATTATAATAAGGATATTAATAAAAATATTTAAAACAACAACACTAATAAATGTAATAACTTACTTGCAAAAGTGCATAGTCTTCATGTATGAGCCAATCTGGTACATGAGGCGGTTCTGGAACAGGTCTAGCTGGTAAAGGTGGTTTCAAACTAGCCAATGTCATTGTCATTGGTCTATTAATACCTCGGTATCGCTGAATACGTATATCATTACGCATTTTAAGTAATGCGCCAGAGGCTCGATCAAACATTGATCGAGGCAAATGTGGAAAAATATTTTCATTGATTCTCCATTCACCAGCACTATTATCACGTGTTCCATACATTGATTTAGTACTAGAGGATAATGAACCAGGTAAACATGATCGATCTACAAAAAAATTATATAATTTATTTAAAATTAATGATAAGTTACTGATAGCAACCAATAAACCAATAAAGCATGAATATGACATGCTTGATCAATAATCAAATTAAAAAAAAAAAAACTCAGAATAGCAATAATAATTAACTCAAACTGTCAAAATAGAATGTTAAGTTATAATAACATACTGTTTATAAATGTGGCATCAGTCCTTGGGCGTTTTCGAGCAGATGGCAAAGGAGGTAGTTGAGCTTCTGTCATTGGTATATTAGAATACTGATTGAAGTATAATGGATCATGATAGAACTCAGTTTCTCCTGACCATGGTCCAATAATTAAATGCTTAAAAATTCATTAAAACGATTACACATTTTTACATACATAATTATAAAGAAATCAACTAACCTTTGGTACATCAGATTTTTTGGAGCCGAGATTAGGGTAAACAATCTGTAATTAAAAATAATACTTAAATATGACTTTAAAAGCTCAAATGTATAAATTTTACCTTTCAAATGTTTTATTATAATTGAAATAATTTAAGTACAAAAAAAAAAAAATTAATTTGCAAACTAAACCATTATATAATTTGACACAAATTACTTTTAAGTTACTAAATTGTAATACAATATTTAACATTATATAAATTAGAAATAGTAGAAAATTTATTAGTTTGACTCATAGAATATATTCATAATTTTAGATTCTATGAATTAATTTTATTAGTTATTAATGAACGAACATGTCAAAATAAATAATATTTTACAATATAACAGTAAAAATTTTGATATGCTTATGCATAAATGAAAATACATTTTTTAATTTATCAAGAATGGATTTGAAATGCTTTTTTCTGTTGTCTCTAATTAATTTATAACCATTATTTGAAATTCCTTAATTAAAATAATTTATTTTCTTATAAAGTATTTTAAACGCTATAAATTGTTAATAAATATATTAATTTCTATACTATGAAATATTGACAATTGTTGGTACTGTTAAACATTTAATAAAAAGAATAAATCAGTAAATAAAATATTTAATGATTAACTTAATAGATATTTGTAGTTTTTCTTTTCTTTTAAGTAAAATAATCCTTCAATCTAATATGAAATAAAATAAATATATTGGATACCAATTTAAAATAGTACCTTAATTTTCTATATTATACCAAGTTCTTTAAAAAATATATGCTATTAACAAATATATCATTTAAATTTAATTTAATAATAATCATAAAATATTTATATTCTAGAAATTTTCAACCTAAATAAAGTCTAAATCATAAACCTAACACTATCCTTTATATCAAATAAATTTCAATACTAGTTTGAACTGTTGAAGAATAAAATAATATAATTTATGTAAGTAAAAAAAAAAAAAAAAAATTAATAATTATAAATTTGACAAATTAAAACATTGCCTTAGTAATGTTATACCCAGTTTAAAATTGATCAATCTTTAAAAAAGCAAAAATAAATAATTTCTAGAACCAAATAGATAAATATATAATAGACAATTCTTTCTGATAACAGTATATTGAAATAAAACATTGGTCCAACATAAATGCATATTTGTAAAATAGTACATTCACTCATTTTTTTAGGGGCTAGTGTAGAATAATACACAATTGGTTCAATATTTGAGTCGTTGTAGAATTATATTGCACCATGCTCAGTTGACCTACTCCAGCAGTATAGTAACAAATCAACCTACCTTTAAATAAAAAGATATATTGGTGTGGTGAAGCCTTGAGTAACCGCAACACAAAAAAAAGTTTTCAGTTTATTTTTTTTTCATATTTGTACTATTAAAGAAACACATTATTCATGTATTTTAAATAGTAAAATATGATAAAGAGAAGTACAAGGAATGGACTTCTAATGATTGATGATGACTGTCATAATTAAATATTTTAGGTTGATATAATATACTTTTATACCATCAATTAAAATAATAAATCAACAAAGAATAATTTTCCAACTACAGTATTTGTTATTAGTTATGCAATTTTAAATTTTAAAATATATATATACATATATTTAGTTCCATAATAAAAACATTTTTTTTCAGTTTTTTTTTGTGATAAAGAATCTATTACATAAAATCCTTAGCAAGTTTTCCCCCATGTATGAGTAGAATAATGTTTAAACACCATCCCTTTTCAATTCATATTAATCATATATAAATTTTTTTTTTTTTAAGAATTTAGATTTATTAAGTTCAGTCCCAGTATTGCACTCAGTGTAGCTGAAAATAATTAGTTCTTTATTCATCAATACATATAAGATAATAGTTTTATTCAATTTATCAATCATTTGGTGAATGAGATTATGTATATGAGGAATGGGAACTATTTATATTATATTTTAGACTATAGCTAAATAATTAAATTGTTAAAAAACATTAATATTAACTAAGACATATTTGCAAAAAAAAAGAAAATCTATTGAAATACATGAAGACATGTTCGAAATATTTTGTTTTCATAACTATTTAACACTTTGTATACAAACTCAAGAAAAACATGTTTTTTTTTAACAGGTATATATTAGGAAAATCTGATAAACAAAATGCAATGCATCTAGAAATTTTTTTTTAAAAAGCAAATAGGATTTTGATAATAATATATTTTTAACCTAATATTAATGTATCAATAGTTTTATCCACAAAATTAGTTTTTTAAATAATTCATTACCTTTCATTCAATAATTGTTGTCAGCATCATCATATCATCAGAAGTCATCTTCTCTTGCTCTCTGTGCGATACGATGTTTTTCTTTTTTTTGTTTCGGATAGTCTCTTTTGCCAGTCCTGTTTGGACTGGCAAGGAGGGGCTTGTGTTTTGGTGACAACCTCTATGCCAGACCAAACAAAAAAAACGATCGGCTCAAGTTTTCCAAGTATGGTGAAAATATAATTTTATAACAAAAAATATTTTGTAAATCATGAATATCAACATGAAAAATGTTGTAAAACTTAAAAGTAAATCAAGAATTCTAAATCAACGCACTGCGAGAGCTAGAGAAGAGTTTGCTTCTAATGAGGGACACCAAAACAGAGCCCAACCTTGTGGAGAAGCTATCAAGAAACATAAAAGAAAAACAACCATAACACATGAAATTAAATATATTTTATAATTTTATATAAAAATGTACAGTTGATTACAAAAATTAAAATTAACTTGTCCTCTGTTAATTAACCATAATTTGTAAATATAAAAAACTTCTCTATTGGGAGAGAAAAAAACAAGTTAAAAACATTAAATCTAAAAATAGTGTAGTTTATAAACGCTGAGGTCTAAGACCATAACTGCTTTTCTTTCTTGCTTTGTCGTCTATGTGCCATTTTTCAGTATTCTTATTAACAGCATGTTTATCTTTTTTCTTAGTTCTACCTATGATTTTAGATGTAATACTATTACGTTTGTTAACCTGAAATTTATTGATGAAAGTCAAATCCTCGCCATCATCTTCCCCATCATCAGAATCTGGAAGCTTACGCTTCTGTTTCATTCTTTCTTCAGTACATTTCGCTGCTTGCTGTTGTTCTACTTTCCATTCTTGTTTTTGTTGTTCCAATTCTGCTTCAGCAGCTGCTACTTGTTTAGTAGCCCAATCCATTTCATTATTTTCCATAAGTCTTATAGCCCATTTTTCAATACACGATAGCTAAGTAAAATAAAATAAATAACATTAGTATTTACAAATAAATTCATTACAACTAAATAAAATTATGTTACAGTATAATTATCTCAATTATGAAAAATATATGATACACATTTCAATGAATTCAAATATTCAGGGACTATACAAGATATATTAAAACAAATATAAAATATCAATAATTTTATTATAATACCTGTTTTTCTAATGCTTGAACTTCCATATCAGCTTTGCTAAGTTTAACATCGGTTTGATCATCTATAGGAATTGCTTCATCAAACTCTGCTAAATCAGCAACTGCTTCTTCTTTTGCAGTTTTAGCAGCTACAACATCAGTTTCATCTTCTGCAGCAGCAAGCGCAGATTCAAAAATATTAATGGCATTTCTGTCTCCGTCACTTGTATTTTGAGGATGTAAAAATTCTGACTCCAATATATGAACACTTCTCTTTTCATCAGTAGTATTAACTTCAAAAAGGTCTTGAATTGTAGTCTAAAATTGTTATGAAAATTCATAGAATATAAATCAAATGAAAATTCAAAAGAATATGGTAATAAAATGATACTTACAGACTTAAAAAAAGAAGCAGTAAAATTACCACCTTCTATTGCCAAATCACCTAATAATCTTTTTTGGTTTGCTTTTTTAAGAATATTCTCTTCAATTGTTTTTTCACTTATTAATCTATAAAAACCGAGTTTTAACATAAGAATCTTTTTTTTTTTTTTTAAATTAATTAATTAGTAATTTGTACCTGTAAATATGAACATCGCGTGTTTGACCAATACGATGACAGCGATCTTGAGCTTGAGCATCCATTGTTGGATTCCAATCACTATCATAAAATATCACAGTATCTGCTCCAGTTAAATTGATGCCTACACCACCAGACCGTGTTGATAAAATAAAACAGAAATACCTTTTGTCTGCATTAAATCTTTCCATTAAAAGCTAAAATAAAAATATACAAATTTAATACAATTAAGTTTATTTATGTATATGAATTTATAATGTACCTGTCTCGTTTCCACTTTAGTTGTACCATCTAATCTTAAATATATATAGCCATGATAATTGAGAAATGCTTCTAAAATATCCAACATTTTTGTCATTTGAGTAAAAATTAATACTCGATGATGACCAGCTTTTAGTTCTCGTAATAAATAATCGAGAGATTGTAATTTACCACAATCGTATTGTATTAATCTTTGATCAGGAAATAAAACACTCATGGCTGAAATTATGGGATGCAGAGCATTTAAGGTTGGTTTTAAATTTTTTTCTAATAACGAAGAATTATTTTGGAGAAACTGAAATTCTGTCTTTGGAGTTCTTCCTTGAACGGCTGGTACATATGCTATAAATTGTTCAAAGGAATCAAGCATTTCTTTCATTCTACTATCTACAGATTTAACAGATTCTGATAAAGCTACTGCTGTCATATAAGACATACGCTGTATATGAGCAGAATATTGAGCAATAACAGATAGAACATTGTTTGAGCCAAGCCATAACCAAGGGTTTCTTTCAACTGAATCTGAACAACCAACATGACCAGAAAATACATCAAATCTTATAAAATCTCTTAAGTCTTGTCCATAAACAACATTAGTAGCACCATCTATTCTTTTATTATTTATGAGCGCTAAATTTTTAATTTTTGCTTGTTTTCTTAAATGTCGTCTTTCTTCTAAATTTGGCTATAGAACAAATATAAATATGTAAGTAATAAAAAAAATTCAAACATATAATTACTTTAAAACATACTATGTGAAAAATTATATCATCACTTAATTCTTTATTCAACACTCCAGAAGATATGGCCTGAGGTTTATGCTGATTATGAGATTTTGACTTAGTTAAATTATAATTTTTATTGTTTTTGTCTTCCTCATTTGCAACATGATTATTAAGATTTGTAGAAGGATTTGAATAACCTGTAAATAGATTAATGAAATAATTAAAATTTACCAATATTCTGAGGCACATTATAACATTATCAACAAAATTCTATTAAATTTGCAATATAATAAATATATTTGAAAATAAATTCTGTACTTGCTATTTTTCTATTGTATTTATATCTATTGAATTATTAGTTAAGTATACTATTTTAATATACAAGGGTAGGCAGAAAAATAATGCACACATGCTTGTAGAACACGAACAAAATAACCTACAAAGAAGCACGCTTGATGGTATTCAGATATCATTTTCCCCCTCTATATGTATGCATAGTTTGAAATAATTGAGTTTACCATTTCGTTTTAAGTAGTGTAAATAAGAAAAGGTGTTCTAAATATAAATTAATTTTTATACAAAGATAGATGTTAAAAATAATTTATAAATATCAGCTTTATTTATCATATACTAATTAAATAATTAAGTAATGAATTAGTAATTGAAAGCATAATAGTATAGCATTGGTGCAAAAATTAATATTCAAATGAATAAAAATTGATCTACAATGCATATCATTATCTTATTATCTTACAATAGAGAATATTTAAAAAATAAACATTTTCACATATTAATTTATCTAGGTACCTAAAATCTTAATTAAATTAAAGCATTAATTTAATTAGTTGCAATTCATTTACTATACTGATAGAATTTCATTAAATAAAATAGCAATGTTGATTACAATGTAACTGACCTTCGTTTGATCCATTAAATTTAGGAGTTGAAGTGAACAATTCATTTCTTGGCACATTGTTTATAATTTTTGTTCGATTATTTAACAAATTAGGTTCACTCTTCTTATTTTGAATGTATTGATTTAATTGTTTAAATTTAGGAGTTAAGGATAACATATCTACAATTTTAAATTACCATGAGAATTAAAATACCACAAAGTATATAAATTATAAAATATACTTGTAAAAGCTGGACTTCTTGATATATTGCTGCCGACAGATTTCAATTTTAAATCTACACAAAAATGAAAAAATGAAAAAAGAATTGCGATAAAAATTCTAAAAATTACCTTTGATTCCTTTTTCTGCTAAAAACTTCACAATTGGTAAATTGTGTTTAAGCCTCACATTTACTAATTTATTACGTGGAATACATTGATTGATCTAAAAAATTTCAAGTTAAAATATAATTCATAATAATACACATGATAAATAAGAATAAAAACACTCTAAAATAACAACAATTTTGCTAAATATTTACAACTAAAGATGAATTATTAATAATATAGACTAATATATATTATATACAGTTGAAACTCAATTAACAGTCAATTTTTGTCATCTGCCATCATTATTGTTAATGAGGCAATTACAATAAACTCACTGCAGCAACTATAATGTGTATGCATTTTTTTCTCTTATCGAACATATGCGATAAATGCAACATGAACAAATTTAAATATTTTTAATTTAATTAAATCAATAACCGATGAATAACTAGATCTAATGACTGTAAAATACGAAATAATGTGGATATAAAAACTCTTATCAAAAAAAAAAAAAAAAAAAAAAAAGAAAATAACAAATTACTTTGTTTAAAATTGTTAATTTTAGTTAAGAAGTGTTTTAGAATGGGATGTAATATATTGTATATATATGTATTATATTTCCCTGAAAATACACACATTGAAAAATATTTACATTAATTGCAAAATTTCTATTAACCGCTCATTCGATTAACCGTCATAGTCCTAGTCCTGACAGTAACAGTTGAGTGAGTTTCTACTGTATATAAAAATTAAAATTTACTTAATGAATATTACATTAAATGTATATAGTACATAAACCAATAGTTTAACCATAATGTTCACAAACGAGGTGTAAACAAAGTTTCTTACATACTTTTCATTTCATATTACATTCTATAAAATGTATCATTAAGACAACATTTCAGCAAAACTGTAGTTATAATATAATACACAATGACTTGTTTATCTAATCTCAATAAAAAATATTTAAAAAACAATTTAACATAATGTACCTTTGAAATTATATCTAAGTTTTTAGGCAACTTCATATTAAAATTAATTTTAATTTTAGGAAGTTTTATAGGTGTATCAGGTAAAGCATCATACTGTTCAAATATACATTCTGGTAATTGGTAACGCTTTAAACGGTGAGCAGCCCATGCACTCATTATTTCTTCTAAGTGAGTAAATAATAAATTTACTGATCTTAAATCAATTTTCTACAAAATAAAATAATATATTAAAAAAAAATGTCATGAACTAAAAAAAATTTGAATAATCCTTACATTCATGGGGTCATATTTTATCAAATTAAATACCAAACGAGGTACTGCGAATGTAAGTGCTTCCATTTGAAATGGAGAGATAGTTGGACGAGGTTCAAACATATTTGGATGATTACAAACCTTTCTAAGTTGCATAAGTACATTAATTACACTTAACATGTTTCCACTAGCAAGTGTTTCTTTCGTTCTAAAAAAAAATAATATTATTTAATTATTAATTAAAATAATCTACTGAATAAATAAACATACTTAGCTCGAGACATGAAGTCATCATAAAGATAACGCTGGCGCTTAGATAATCTGCACATAATAATATGCTCATACTTTTTTGGTAATTGTTTTTCAACTTCACACTTTAATCTTCGAAGAATAAAGGGTCTTAGAACTTTGTGTAATTTTTTAATAATGGTTTCATTATACTCTGCATTTCCTTCAATCATTCCAGTCACTGGGTTAGAAAACCATTCCTTAAACTCACGATGAGATGCAAACAAGTTTGGCATTAAAAAGTGCATCAATGACCATAATTCCATTAGATTATTTTGCAAAGGTGTTCCTGTTAAAAGCAGTCTTCTTTCAGACTGGAAATTCAGTAAGAGTTGCCATCGTTGAGATTTAAAATTCTTAATATTTTGGGCCTCATCGAGGATCAAATATTTCCATTTTTTTCTGCGAAAACTTTGATGATCTGTTATTACTAACTTGTATGATGTTATACAAATATGGAAGGTATTAGGTTTTGTCCAACCAATTCTCTTATTTTTCCTTTCTTTAACAGAACCATAATAAGTCAATATTTTGAAGCTCGGACACCACTTTTTTATTTCCATTTCCCAGTTAAGCATAACAGAAGTAGGAACTACAATTAAATGAGGACCCCAATCTTCTGTAAAAACAAAATGATTCATATAAATAACACTTTACATACAAAAATAGTGATTCAACATACCTTTTTCACAAGCTAGATGAGCTAATAAAGCAATTGTCTGAATAGTTTTACCAAGACCCATTTCATCAGCTAAGATACCATTCAAATTTTGTTCATACATTGTAACTAACCAATCAAGGCCTATATGTTGATACTCACGAAGAGTATTTCTTAATAAAAATGGAACTTTAGTGACCACCTATGTAGTTAAAATTAATGAATAGACATATAATATATTATATTTTAACTGATAAGCTTACACTAGTAGAAGATAATGTATTTCCTTTAGGTTGAATACTTTCAGCCAAAGCTGTAACATCATTTATTTCTTTATCTGCATTACAATCACTCGTACCATTGACCTATTAAGAAAATGAAGTTAAGGAAACGCTACCAATAACAAATCAAACCTAAACACACCATCTTATTAGGAGATTTTCGCAACAGATATTTTAAGCCAATATCCTTAGAACCCTTTTCTTCTTTGCTATGATCAGAATCATGACCTAAAATAAAATAATAATATATTATTACTTTATTATAATTGTTATCATTTAAAACTTACTACTTTCATCAGCATCAGACTCTTTATTATTTGGTAACTGAACTTTATATTTTGCCAATAGCTGTTCAATGCTCATTTCATTTTCAGCCTGTAATTAACAATATAGTTCAAATTATAAAATTTAAATTATTTTAATTTCACTAATTTAAATTTAAGTTTAATAATATTATCAATCAGCATCTATATAATTATATTGAACTAAATGAATAACCTCCAACTCAGCAATTTCTTTTGAATGATCTACTCGTCCATCTTCTTTTTCTGCAAGTTGTAATGTTTCTTCATCATCACTCCAACTACTATTAGATGCTTCAAAATCTTCATCATCACTTTTATCAATGGGTAAGTGCTTATTTAAGAAAATAATTAATTAATTAACTAGCCATCATGCTATTACTTATTCTTACTTCTTCTTCTAATTTATTAGCCCTAGTTTCTAGATATCCTTTAGGTAATTGATCAAGAACATCGTCAATAGACAATATAGATTCTTTTTTTAACAAATCAATTTCTTTTTTGTGATCAACTTCATTGTCATTTTCTTTTTTAGTTTTTTTAGAATCATCTTCATCAGAAGAATGGCAAGGATCTAATTTACCTAAGTAAAAGAAAAAATAAGAAAAATATATATGTATATACATATGTATATATATGTTTACTAAAACCTTAGTTTTACCAAGAGAATTAGCCATGGATGAATTTTGTAACGCTATCGCGGATGAATTATTAGCAGATTTCATCAAACTCTCAGCAACTAATGTTGACATTTTTTCAGTTTGATCGACGATAAAATTTAAATGCTCATCTAAAGCAATTTTTCTTTGTTCCTCTAATTTAGTTGATTGCTTGAATACAAGCAGCTACACAGAATTTAAAGGTTACAATAAATATGCATTTAAACAAAAAATTATTAATTATGTGATAAGTACTTGCCTTCTCAACATTACTCCAAAATGTTTTAATCATTTTGGCAATGAAGCCAGTTATTCTCTTTTGATGCATCTCAGATGCTTTTGCTGCTCTTTGTGCTTCTATCTTTTTTTCATGAAAGTGCTTCATAACCATTTTTGCACACTATTTCAAAAAAAAAAAAAATAAAGAGAATTTTATTAAAATTAATAGAGAAATATATTACTTGTTTAGCAGCTTTTTTTTTCCATTTTCGTTCCTGGGCAAAATCAGTAGCAAGCCACTGCATTTCTTCCAAAAGATAGTCATGGTGTGCTTTATTTCTTGGTGGTTCATAAATTTTAGGCAGTCTTTTTTCACTCCATAAACCATCACGCTGTAGCTGATTTATTTTCTGAATGATTTGGGCTTCCTAATCAAAAAGAAGAAAAAAGGAAAACATGTAAAATTAAAATAAAAATTTATTTTATATAAACTTATTTACCCATTTCACTCTCTCAACTACTTGATCAGGTTGATTTTCATTAGGCTGCCGAGATGTTTGAGAGGAATTGGAAGGTTCTTCAGTAGGAGAATTAAGAGAAATTAATTTATTAGATTCTAAAATAACAATTATTATTTTTAATATTCTCAAGATATTTCTTTACTATAAAATATAAAGCTTACTAGTGTCCGAAACTGAAACAGGTGTTTCCTGTGATTCGGATGCTTGCTTATCCATCCACAGTTTAAGTTCGGCAAATGGATCACCATTAAATAAAGGTTCGTCATCACATTTAACATTTTCCAAAGACCAACTATGTTGATTATTGAATACCTGCTCAACTTTGTCAGGTAGAAAATCAATAAATTTCGACACCGACTGTATTTCTTCCAATTCTCGTTGGGATTGAGCAAGCTTTGCACGTACAGTCTCCAATTGTTCAAATACCATTTCACAAGTACGTTTAATTTTGGCTGAAGTACACATTTCCAAAGCTTCAAACTCTTTGGCTGCTGAGAATAAAAAAAATGAAATCAATGCTGATACACATTCAAAAATAAAATAAAACAACTTACATTCTGTTGAATATTTACGCTTTCGTGAAAGCTGATTTTGACTATCCACAGAATCATCATGGTCCGAGTTGTAGCTGGTGTTTTCAGCATCATTAGTGGAGCCATTTACACCAATTAGATTATCACAATTACTTGGTATATACTTTACACCAGATGTCACCTAAAAGTATAAATGAAAAAAATAAAGTAAGAAAAGAAAAGTTAGAGAGTTAAACTGAGTTAACAGAATTAAAAATAATGAAACCTTTCTACTTTTCTTCGCACAATAATTAAGATACAATTTAAAATTTTGAAAAAATTAATCTTTAAAAAATAACTAGTTATGGAAAACAAAAAATAAATGCATTAAGTCAAGAAAAAATATGGCTTTCAACTAAGGAAAGATTCTACACTACTCTGAAGATGAGCATAAATAAATTACTATGTAATACCCTAAGGAACTAAAACCTATATAACTATCATAAACCAGTATTCATTGAATAATTAATACTAAGGGAGAATAAAGTGTATATATAGGTATTTACATACACACACTAATGTACAGTATATATATGCCATATATTATATAAAATGTCAAGTTCTGAATAAATTGATAAATTAAAATATTAAAAATATTTTCCAATAAAAATGGTCTTTCTATATTCCAAACATCTGAGAAAATATAGATTGACCAAAAATGAAAAAAAAAAAGGAATACTAACATCAATCGCATTTTTTTTTTTTTTTTTTAAACGAATAAAATATAAATTTTCTATTAAAAAACAGGATAAGATTAAAATAAAATAAAAACTGAATTCAGATCAACGTATGTTCTTAAATACCCTTAAAAAAATTAACCTTAATGATATTCTATATACTATACAAACTATGTACTATTTTTAACCAAACAAGGAGGCATAGTAAATAAAACTGTATTTTAAATACATTCTATATCAAATAATTTTATTTACATAATAGCAAAAACGTAAAAACCAATAAAAATAACAGAGAAAATTGAAGGTCATAATACAAAGGGTGTGTTAGAATTCTTAAAAAAAATATATATATTATGAATCTGATAAATACTGTAAAAAATTAAACTGAAGTTTGTTCAATAAAAATGAGGATAAAAATAACAATTATAATAACAAAAATTAACAAAGAACTTTATATATTGGAAAATTATTACAATTTGTTTTTAATTTTTTTATATAAATCTAGCTAAATAAAAAAACATACATAATAATATCTTGAGTATACAGACTGTACATTAAACAATTAAGGTAAAATCGAAGTTTATAAAATAAATTTTAATGTAATTAAAATTTCCATAACATATTGCCCAACTAAAATTGATTAATATAATTTATACATAAATAAATAAAATATATAAATTTATATATATTTGTGATTCAATCAACATAAATAAAGTAAATGCTTTCATTGATGTAAAAAATTATTTTAACAAAACAATTGATAATAAAAGTTCTTAACATAAAAATTTCTTGATTTTTTGTACAATGTTTTAATTTTTAACTCTATACAAACAATATACCTATCTTCCATAAAATAATTTTACTCAAACAATTCATAAATAAATGTTGATACACATGATTTCAAAAGTTCATAATCAATAATTTATATATATATACTGACATCATAATTTAAAATAAATCAATTTACCTGATGGCCATTCCCATCATATTTATTATGTTTGTGACAATCAATGGTCCCAGCTCCCAGTTGGGAAGCGGTGGCCATAAATGATTTTAGGTTCTGAACAACTATTAATCGCTTTTGGATTATCCATTTAGTTTTTCTAAAACAATTACAAAATCATTTAATTTAAATACAATCATTTTACACATTTTTTTAAAAAAAAATAATTTTTAAAATTATAATTTTTTATAAATGTTAAAAAAGTACCTACAATTCGAAACTTTTAGATTAAAAAACCAAGTATTTATAAAATACAAAATTATACTATAAATCAGACTATATAAAGTATAAGAATCATATTTTTCGTGAAAGAAATTGATTTTTGTAAATTAACTTTTAGAGTTAAGTTAAAATGACCAAAATTTATGAAAATGCTTAATGAGAAGCAACTGTGATATATGTATAAGGTAAATGAAATACTAATTACTTAACAGTTTCATAATTATGGTTAAATTTAAGAAAAGTATTCATAAAAAAAAAATTATAATTTTTTAACATTAATTTTTTTTTGTACCAATAACAAGCACATGTTGATTAAAACTCTAATTAAGTGTACCATAATTGGATTATTTAGTATGATTTAATTTGTGCTAGAGTTAAATAATTCAGTTTTTTGTCAGGAAAATAATAAAGAGTTTATTTATTCATTAAAGTTTAATAAAAATTAACAAAATTAAACATTATCTGAAGTTTAGAGGTTATGTTATGAAAACAGAAGTATATAAATATAAATATAAATAATAGGCGGGATAAATTAATAATTGATAAAATGTATGGCCCATTCAATAAATGGTAATTTGGTGAAAAAATACGGTGGAATGTGAATTTTTCACAAATATATATGATAATATTGAGTTGATCCCAAGTGGCCGAATTTCTAATAAAATAACGGATGGAATTGGCTTGTCGGCCATTTTGTGTGCGCCGGATGAGACTGGGAGATGCTTACCAAGATCGAAGCGATTACCCTCCATCGGTCACAAGCCATTATACGAGTCTGTTCAGACGGCGAACGCACATTTTGTACGCACAACACTAAAACATGACGCAAAACAAACTGTTAATTTCATAATAACAAAACAGAAATTATAGAATTGTACCGAGCGTTTCCGAACGAAATGCTCAAAAAGAGAGATACACAACAATATGGCGTCTGACGGCAGTGGACTACGGGAATTCGCTGTTTAGTGGGCGCGGCCAGAACAAGCCGATCGAGTGAGAGCGGCAAGCGTCCTACGGCAAAACAAAACAAAAACTTCACTGCGCGTCTACTCCAGAACACAAAAACAGTGTTGGTAACATTACTTATAGTAAACAAATAAAAACACTATAGATTTCCCGGGATTTTTTAAAGTAGATTGTATAGGTTATGTAAGAAAATTGACAGAAATCCTTTTGAGCTGCATAACAATTAAATATACTCATTTAGTATATCTTTCATTGTGGTTATATATTACTTTTTAATTTGACAAATACTATTAATAAATAATTGATAAAAATGTATATATTATCTAGTCGAATTAGTTGAAATATAACTGTACTCAGTAATTACTTTAAATCATTATATAATATTCAAATGAGTTATATTAATCGTTTTATTTAAACTTATTAATAATCATTCATATGGAGTTCCTTTTTAATAAAATAATAATATAATTGAAATTTAACTTATTTTCAGTACTAAAAATATGATAAGATTAAAAGTTCCTCTGATTCCCAATGAAAATATTCTCAACAACTTATTTGACAAAAATATATTTACAGTAAATGACTTTCTTCAAAAGCAAAGTTCTGATTTACAAAACATATGCAAGTTACAATGCAAGGTAAGGGTTTTTTAATACACATCACATTTAAATATTTGTTTTTCAATCAATACTACAATCCATATTACAATTTTATATAAATATATATATATTATATATTTTATTTTATTTTTTATTTATATATTAATAATACCTTAATAATTTTATAACGATTTACAAGTTTTTCCTTAAATATCATTTTTTTTATTTTACTAAAATTTATCAGTAATTAAATCTATAAAAAATATCATTTTCAATGATTATTATAATTTTAACTCTTTAAAAATGTGGCAAATACATAAATTTGACCAGGGGCTTTAGACATCTTCTGCCTGTCGGTAGCAGTCATCAATCAATCAAGTCTGCTAATCAATATTTTTTTTTATTTTCAGGAAATAACGAAACTCAAAGACATTTTAACAATAAAATGTTCATCATCTATTAATGGCTATGAACTATATTTGAATAGATCTATTCCTAATTTTGTTCAAACTGGGATTCATAAGTAAATTAAAATTTAATTTACCAAAACTGTATTATTTAAAACCAAATTGTTTAGGTTGGATAACTTACTAGGTGGAGGATTAATGTCAAGCAATATTTATGAATTTTGCGGTCCTTCATCTTGTGGGAAAACACAACTAAATTATAGTATTCTATTAAATATTATAATGAATACTAAAAGAGATATCATTTATATTGATTCTAGAAAAAAATTTTCAGTCAATAGAATAAAACAAATATTGAAAAATAAATATCATTTAACAAACCAGGATGTATTTATTTAATTCATTTTATTTTATTCATTTTAGAACATGCTGTTGCTAATTTCTTTATATATTTGCAGATTTATGGCATTTTGAAAAAACTGTTTGTGTATTCAGTTTCAGATATTTATTGTTGTATTACTTGTTTACATAGTCTCAAAAACAAGACAGAACCTATTATATTTATCGACTCTTTACCTGCAATATATTTATCATTTGTAGGCTTTTTAAAAAATGATGGTAAATTAAATGATTTTTTGATTAATTTAATTTATTTATTAATTTTTTATATGTTTTAGGTTTATGTTATTTAAACCATATATGTTCTGTTCTTAAGTATTTATGTAAAAGAAATGCAATTATTGTTGTCACAAATTTAGCAGTGAAAAATTGTAGTCCTATAACAAATAATGTAAATGAAGAAGTTCATTATAATCAATGTACAAACCAATTGGATTTTAAGCCTGCGATAGGTAAATATTGGTTTCATGTACCCAATACAAGACTTATGTTTACCACAATATTGAAGAACAAACAGCAAATATGTATTCATATTTCTAAAAGTGCATACTTATCTCTTAATGAAAATTGTATCTTGCAAATCGATGACTGTGGAGTTTCATAGTCATAAATAAATATACAATATGTGCAAACAATAGTTTTTATTTACAGATCGAATAATAGCAACTTAATAAAGTAGAAATTGTATCACAATTTTAATACATTACAAAATATAAATCAATCTTATTTATAGTTAACTACTGGCTTAATAACAAATATCAAAAACTATTTTTATCCAAATAGAAAAATTATCATAATATAAAACAAACTTAACATCATATAATAACTCATTTAGGAAAATAACAAAATTGTACTTGAAAAACATACACAATAAATAAAAGAATTAATTTAAGCTTGGTCAGAATCAGACATAGGAGAAAAACATGGACAAATTCTTAACTTTTTATTTACATTTTCTTTATTATAATTAGGGATCTCATTTGATTTTAAAATATGTGAAAATTCTGCAATAAGGTCATTTACTTTTTGTTTCATAAGCACATCTTTATCAAACCAAATATGCTTAAGTATTCTATCAAAATCAAACCTCATACTATAATCTACTTTTAGTAATTGCTTGATAATGTCTTGAGCACAATTTGATGCATTTGATATTATAAGTTTAAATGGGTTATATGTTCCTTTATAAACTTTTTCTTCGATATGGTCACCATCAAAAGGTTTAGAACCAGTTAAACTAAAGCATAATAAACATTATATTGTTATTATGTCACTATTAATATGAAAAATAAAGTATACCACTCATATAATATCACACCAAAACTCCATGAATCCACTTTTCGAGTATAATTACCAGATGAATAGGTAAATTGTTTACTCAATTGCTTTTTTGTGAATACTTCAGGGGCAAGATATGCTAAAGAACCACAAAATGTTTTCAAATGTGTATTATCAGTTATCTTCTTAGACAATCCAAAATCAGCTAATTTTACTTGACAATAAGGGGATTGCTTTGAAAGCAATATATTTCCAGGCTTAAACAAAACAATTAAAACTATAAATTAATAATTGGAAAAGATTTCCACTGTATAATAAATCTGATTTTAAAACTTGTTATGATATATTTTCTCAATCTAAATAAAAATTATTAATTAATTAATTACTGGCTAACATGATATTGACACTCTAAAATAAAATTAAATACAAAATAAAATAAATACAACATACATAATTAAAATAAATTGGAAAAACTTACTTTTAAGTCTCTATGAGCTATTGATCTATTATGTAAATACTGAACAGCACGAGCAACTTGGTACAAAATTACTTTAGCTTCAAATTCTTTTAAGTGATTAATATTTAGAAGTTGTTTTAATGTACCTCCAGGAATATACTCCAACCCAATATAAATAAAATTGATTGTGTCAATAAAATGTTCCATATTAACTATATTTGGCTACACATAAGAGATGAATATACATATACATATAAAAAACATACAGCAATAATAACAAAAAGTTCTTTACTATACATGAGATAAACTTGACAAAATGGTAGGCTCTCTTAAGACAATACAACTTTCTTTTTTCACCTTTTTTAATGCAAAGCATTTCAATGATTTCTAACAAAACAAATAACAAGTATTAGAAATTCATTAAAAATTCAGGGACTGTATAAATACAGAAGATAAAATTTATACTAGTATGAACTGAAAACTAGTCTCATGGTCAAAATTAAAATTATCAACCTATGTATATTATAAACGTAGTTACTAGATAAATAAATGACAGCATTTATCACTTCATACAGAATAATACATGTACTATTCTTAACTAAATTAATTAATGTTGAATATATTAACTAATATAAATATATTGGCAAGACAATGGGCACATGTCAATAAAATCATGATTTATGTATCTATGTATTACATACATATCTTTAATTAATAAATCATTTAAGGTTTATGAATACATTTCCATTTAATAAAATTGAAATTGAGATCACCAAATTAAGTCAATTTTTCATAATTTTAACAAATTAAGGCAATTATGTTACAATTCCTTCAAGTCAAATAAAAATGTATTGAAATATAAGGTATTATTTTCTCTTAAAACAAGCTATGATCACTTTTACAGTAGCATTCAATTTTTGCTATATATTTAGAAATGACCGATATGCAATATAATTTAATATTATACTGAAAGTTTATTTAAATTTAAACTCTAAAGTACTTTATTACTTTTTGAAATAAATATATATATAAATTAAAAAAATAAGTAATCAGTTATAATTTTTTATAATGGAAGCTTAAATAACATACTCATTGAGATTGTTAGTGAATTACTGAAAGTCCATGCGGTCTCACAAATTGACAGTAACTTATGATTAACTATTTGCATTAAATTCAACATTAAATATATATATATACTTAGTATTTCATAAAAAATTGCAAGAAATGTAAATGATGAAAATTTTGATTGAATATTTAAATCCAATATTACTAGCTGATCAGCTATTTAATTATTACTAAATGTTAAATATTTCTTATAGTTAAAATTTAGTATAATTAATTAAATGCAATTTTAATTTGATTAAATATTGAATAAAAACCAGTTTTAACAAATGCAAGTTACTTAAATGACCAACAAAATAAAATAATCATTATTTATTATTAAATATATAATATTAAATCTTTTTTTTTTTTTTTTTTATTATAAAACAACATATTTATCAGCATCGATTTATCTAATGAAACTAAAAATTATAAACTTTTCTGATTATATATATTGATGTATGATGACTTACTTTTTCAAAAGCTAACCGGACTTCACCAAAAGTTCCAGAACCTAATATACCATAAACAGCAAATTGTTCTTTAACTTTTTGTGGAAAATTAGAGTTGTCTGTTTGTTTATCAGTAAATGTATAGACTACAAAATTAATATACAATATTATAAGTAAATTAAAAATAATTAATATGATTTTCATCAACTATTAATCATAAAATTCACCATTATTTGTTTTAGAAACAACAGCAATTTTATCATTGTTAGATAATATCCATCGACAGTCTTTTCCTATTTTTTCACCATTTAAAAATGTACCATTAGAACTAGTGTCAGTAATAAAAACTACATAACCAAGTGTTCCAATCATTTCCCGAGTAATAACGAAATGAATCTTACTAATATGGTTCATTACTTTTAAACTAAAACATTGCTTTGTAAATTGAAAATCAATATCATTTGTCTGGCGGCCAGCTTTATAACTATCCTTCATTAAATCTGTAAGAAGTATAAATCAAATACAATTAATGACAACAGTATACAATAAAACTAAAACAATTTTAATACAGCTGTTGTAATAAGTAAATATAATTTAAGACATCTACAAATTTTTTTGAAAATTAATGAATCTAGATACGATTTTATTTTAATTATACTTTTATATTTTGGTTATCACAATTTAACTGTCTCCTGTATAAACAAAAATAATATTAAGAAACCTTCAATTTTTAAGAATTCATTTTCTGGATATAAGCGCCCCCATGCAGTCGGATTTTCAGTAATTGTTATTTGATCCTGGCTATACAATGGATCTTGGCTATTTATCAATGGAGTCAAAACATCTAAATCACCCATAATTGTACCTAAAAAAAAAAAAAAAAAAAAAAAAGTATAAATTATTAAAACAATTTTATGAATAAATCTAAAATAATTTTATTATATATATATTTTTAATTATATATGCAAGAACTTACTATTACAAGTTTAAATATACATTAAAGTTTATAGAAATTTAATATTCTAAAACATTTAATTAAGAAAATAATTTTTATATCAAAAATTTTATTAAATAATTTAATGCACAAATCAATTACAATAACAAATTATACAAATAATAAAGAACGATTTTTAAATGAAATGAAAATATTTAACCATAAAAATAATTAAATCTTAATATATTTTCATATTTTATACATTCGGTTAAAACAAATGAATAAGTTCTGGAGGGAATTAAAGAAAAAAAAGACAAACTTAGAAAATTATAACTAAAAAAAGAAATAATATGATAGGACATACATTGCATCATAATAGTTTGCTGAAGCTGATTATTGAAGGATATGTAGAAAGCAAAACTGGAAGAGGAAGACTAAAAATCTAATACATTTCACAGATTATGAAGGACATGGAAATAGGCAGATATCGAGATTTAAAGGAGCTGAGTTTTAACAGAGAAGTTTGGAGAGCTGCAAGAAAACAATCAACAGATTAAAGACCAAAAAAAAAATAAAAAATACATTTGGATATTTTCTATTAATTCTTATTACATAAAAATATAAACTTAGTACTTCAATACTAATAGGAACAAAGAAGTCTCATAAAACCAATTATTTTAAAGACCAAATACTCAAAAACAAAGTTCTACTTAAGAAGATATTTTGTAGTTTTATTTAGTTAGAAGTTAAATTATGCACGATAATAATAAATATAATTAATATAAACTCACCCACCAAAATAGTAAATAGCACGTAAATATAATATTTACAATATCAATAATATGTAGAAAGACAAATAAATAATAAATAATTAATTTTTAACACAATAACAATTACCCAGAGTATACAATATAAAATATCGTTATATATTTATAACTTCAAAATGTTATCTAATACAGGTTGACATTTTCATAAATTATTCCTTAATACACGTGCTCGAAGTGATCCACAGTTGATGTTAGCCCTTCACTATAATCACAAAATACATTGGAAAAGAAACTAAATCAGCCAATCAGGATGTTAAATTTCATTAATGACCTAACCTAACCTCTGGTTATTAAGTTACAACCATGGTTTAAAATTGTAATCCTTAGTACAACAGCTAACACTGATAAATAATTAACATTTGATGAGGGAAGTTGTGAACTGAAAATGAATGAAGAGATTCCGGAAGACTTTCAAACGAATTTCAATAATTATAGACAAACGACTAAAATAGAAAGTCACGAACTCACAGTGACAATACCTTAAGATACGTTTTGAACAGCAGACTTTAAGATTACTTCAGTGTGTTATATCGTAGGAATTCAACGATCTATGTAACGAATATA